TGTCCACATCATACCAACCACGCTTCTCACGTATCCCAGCCACGGATTATTACCCACACTTTAAGACCTTCTTGTATAAACGCTGGCAATCTTCTGGTCAAGCCTCCACACTAATAAATTACATTCTGTAAAACTATCAATCTCCTCCTGGTCAGCTCCATTTCATCGGAACAGACGTTGGGAGACTGCTCTCGCCCGCTTACGCATTGGCCACACCGTCTAACACACTCCTATCTGATGTCACAATCTGATCCACCCCTAGGTTCTTTATGTATGTTCCCCTTTCAATCGTACACATTCTATTGTCGTGCCCACGTTTTTTGAAGCAGCCCGTACCTCTGCTTTCCCCCACCTATCCTCCCTTCACCGACCTCCCAACCTATCAGACATCCTTACAGAATCCCACACTTTCTGCATCAACAACCTGTTCTCTTTCCTCAAACGTATACATATCCTTTATCTAATCTAACACCCGACCTTAACCCTATAACTCACCAATTCCTTTACCCCGCTTAGACAACTAACCACTAACTCAACCACCTTTCACTAACATTAACTATAGTGCTACATGACCTTAGATGTCTAGCACATTTATCTTGCTTTTAACCATTAACCATTAACCAACCATAGAACATCCAATGCTATGATAATGCACATGGAGCAGTAGTCTTACCTTTTTTTAATGTTCGCACCTTTTCTAATCAGGAAAGGAACTGACCATCCTAAGCATCATCCTGCGGATTGGTAAGCATGTTTCTCTATGAACAGGTTTCCCTACATCCACTTGGATAGTGAAAAAAAAAAAAAAAAAAAAAAATTGTATGATGTTTTTTATCTTTATTGATAAAGCTTTCATTTTTTGTGTGACAAAAGTAACATTTGTCTGCAAAACATATTTTTCTTTAATTTTTCATAGGCATCCTAAGGAACTGGCCTCGCACCTCCTAGGCGTGGGTCCGCCCCTTGTTAAGAACCACTGACGTAGAGGAACCTGGGGATTACCTGATTGTAAGCAAGCAAAAAGTGATCCATGGGGATAGAATAAAACAAAGAAAAATGAAAGGTAAAACATTCTACCATCTGTGTGTGGAACCGAATTCCTGTTCCTTTGAGGGTCGCTTCTACTCCCAGACCTTCAGTGTTTATCCATGGGCTCCCCCCTCTCCCCGGTCTTGGCTAACCTGTTTATGGAATTCTTCAGTCTGAGCTTTTCTCTTCATCTGCCTTCGTCCGTTGGTTGGCTGAGGTATGTCGACGACGTCGACATACCTCATGACCCTGCCCTGTTCTCGGACTTCCTGATCCAGCTGAACTCTCTCTTTCCTCCCATCTGTTTCGAGGTGGAATTGGAGGTTGACAACAAGCTCCCCTTCTTGGACACTCTAGTACCTTGCTCTGCTGACCACTTCTCCATATACAGGAAGCCTATGCTTAGTGGTATGTATATACACTTCTCATACCATCCTCTCCAAGGA